GGTACCTTATTCAGGGGTCCTTATAATAAGGATCCTACTATTTAGGGTGCTATATTAGGGTCCCCTATTTTCGGAAACCCCCATATGGGGGGCCTTCATGGTGCCAAATAGTAGGAGTTAAGAGGGTTTTGAAGATTTTATAGAGTAGTTACTTTAGGAACCACAGCATAGGGCCTTGATGATTAGCAACAATTGGGTTTTGGAAGTTTTTTCCCGTACTTCTAGCGGCAACCCTAAGGGAACAGTAGTAGTAATTATTCAGGCTTCTTTTCTCAGGAGCATGAGCCCAAGAGGACAAACATGCTGGATTGATAGTGTGAGCAACAGCCTGGAGTAATGCATGCCGCAGTGTCAGCAGCGGAAGCCTGACATTATCATTTTTATTGTTCATTGATGACTATGACTTAGGATTTGTACAGTCATAGTGGTAGCAGTGGCAGTAGCGCTTGGGGACGGGGTATTGTTCATGATACATGATAGGAGTAGCAGCGGTGGTAGTTGCAGTGGCGCTCGTTGAGTTCGTAGGAGAAGAAATCGGAGTGGAGTAGCGCATGAGTTTGAGCTGCCCATGTCGAGCCAAAATCCCGGACACTTGATAAAGAACCCACGCCAGGCAGAGAAGGAAGAGCGTCGCGAGTTTGAGGCACGCTACCTGTAAGAGCGTGGAATCAACACAGAGGGTGGCAGGTGCTGGAGGCTGCGAGTACGGTGAGTTAGGGCCAGCCGGTTTTGGTTTCTAATGGGCAACACAACCTTCAGGGCCAGTCGCCGATATCTGCATTGCAAGGTATCTTTGCGCTGGAGGTTGTGGTCTGCTTACTAGCTACCGCGTCTGGCTCCCTTTGCAGTTTCTGTTTGATCCGCTGCATTCTGTCCCAGTTTTCTGCGGATTCGACACGGCTGGCCCATGAATTCAGGCTCGGCAGGCTGCTGCAGCGGCAGCCGCAGAGGAAGCCGCATCTGCTTGTCAAAACCCCGCTTGCCCTGAGGTTGCTTGAGGGTTCAGGTCCTGTCGGCTTGGTACAGGACTTGGTGTAAAGTGTATGTACGTATGTATGTATGCATGTATGTATGTTTGTAGGTATGTATGTATGTATGTAGGTATGTATGTACGTACGTATGCATGCATGCATGCATGCATGCATGCATATGTATATATACACATGTATACATATGTATATATGTATATGCATGTATGTTTGTTTTTAATTGTGTGCATGTACACTGTATGCATGTATGCACATGTGAACAGATACAATATATATATATATATATGGGCACATATGTAAAATATGTGTGCATGCACATGTATATCGATAGAATAGATAGATAGATAGATAGATCGATAGATAGATAGACAGATAGATAGACAGACAGATAGACAGACGGACAGATAAAGAGAAAGAGAGAGAGAGAGAGAGAGAGGGGGGGTAACCCCTGCACCACAACCCTAGCGAAAGAAAGAGAGAGAGAGAGAGAGAGAGATTTTCTAGAGTCTAGAGGTAAACAAAGACAGAGGCGCAGAAACCTGGCCCAGGAGGCTCAGCTAGCTGCAGCGGTAATCGCCATGGACGAGGAGAAGGCTTATGGTTTTGGGTTTAGGGCTTAGGGTTCAGGGTGGTTGTACCAAGGAGCCTGTGAGACGGAGCTTCCCTACGCCTCCACTACTGGTTTAGGGGTTACTGTGTTAGGGTTTAGGGGTTTAAGGTTTAGGGCTTTAGGGCTTTAGGGCTTCAGGGTTTGCAGGTTTAGGGTTTTAGGGTTTGAGTTCGCGGTTTATTTAGGGACCCTCTACCCCATTCCGACCCCTCAGAGCAACGGAGTCAGAGGTGCTGGCTCCTACAGACATGGGCCCGCCGGAGGCAAGTGCGGATGCTTGCATCGCATGTGAGTGGCGATGGGTTGCGGGAGTCGCGACGGAAGTCGTCTGTGGGACCGTTCTGACGATTTGGTTTTCGACGAGTAGCAGTGGCAGTAGCAGCAGCAGGACGAGGAGGAGCAGTAGGAGCAGCAGCAGAGGCATCGTGAGCGTCATTGCTACTGCCGTCCATACTAGCAAATGTATAACCAACATGACCAACATACGACGTAGTTTTCGATAGCTTGGCTTCGTCTACTTTGCAAATCCACCTAAACCTGGAAACACCAAGCAAAAAGCAGGTCTTGCCGGATGTTGGGCACGATGACGAGGACAGCAAGATCAACTGCAAAGCTATTTTGCAAGATGTGTTGAAACTGCTCTCAAAGTTCATATTCGGGGCCCGAAGCAGGGCCGAAGCCGTGGCCAGGGCTTTGTGACTTGGATTGTCAGAAACTGTCAGAAATCATCTTGGCATCTCGATGACTGTTCAGGTTCAGGTTCTCCTGTTCCTCACTGCGTGTCAGAGGGCGCTCGTTCAAAGGGTAAAATAGGGGCCTTAAGAATTAGAATAGGGTTTGGGGGGTATGTTATACCATATTTATAATGTTGAACCCCCAAACCCTATTCTAATTGTTATAGGCCCTACATTACAGTGGGATCGGGTTCGCTGGTTCTTAAGAGCCAGTATCGCGCAGAACGCGTTTGGGAGACTACGGTTTCTTCAGGTGTTTGTATGCATGAACTCCTGGGCTACTTGTCGAGGCAGATGTCGGCCAAAACACACGTGCAAGCAGAGCATGCTAAATCTTGTCGTCAAGGTCGTGCCAGCGATCCACCTCAGCATCCTCATCAAAGTCCTCGTCGTCGTCATCCTCACCGTCGTCATCGTTATCCGTAAATTTTAGCACAAGCCTGCTACCTTTCTGCCTTCTCGCATTCATTCAGTATCACCACCGTGAGCATGTTACGTATCATCGTCATCTGGTCTTCATGATCCTAACACGACCATCCTTCTAATCATCGTCGTTTTCATCACCTTCGCAGCCGTTCCAATCCATATGTTTGTTCGAGAGGCAACTGTCATTCCCATTGCAGGAGCAGCCAGAGGTCAAGGAGGCTCTGGCGACGCTGAACCGTGCCACCGCGCAGCTGCAGAAAAACGAGCCACCCATCTCGGATTTTCAGAATGAAGCCCTAAATCCATTTACCACATTATCCCGTAGTTCTCGGAGCCCTTTTCCTAGCAGGACTTTGGAGAAAGGGCCCACAAAACAAACAAAACCAGCGACATCAAAAAAAAAACCCTAAGCCCAAAGCCTTCACCTAAACCCTAAACCCTAAACCCTAAACCATAAACCCTAAAACCTAAAACCTAGGAAAGCTCAGACCGACTCCAAGGTTGAGCCATGCAGAAGCAGCGAGGACTTTCTCCCGCCTCGTGGCAGGGCTGCTGGGTCTTATCTTAGGGTTTAGGGCTTTAGGGTTTAGGGTTTAGGGTTTAGGGTTTATAGTCTGAAGTGGTTGGTGTTGGGCTTTGGGGCTTTAGGTTTCCAGGTCTAGAGCCCAGTTCAGGGCTTGCGGTTTAGGTTGAATCGGTTGAGTCGCTCTCAGAAGCTCCTGTTATTACTACACATCTGACAGCTCGGGCCTGGGAATCTTATCTATGTATTGTTTGTTGGCACATTCTGCTTTTTGGTTTGGGATGTTGTGCGCCACCTAACCTTCTTGTGGTTGTGTTGCTGACTGATCAGGAGACTGAGCCATAAGGTTAGAAGGTCATAACAACCCACATGGCAGACGACTTGCTTGACCTCTTACAGAACCACCTATAAGCCCGTTTAAAGCCCATGACATCCCCCCAGAAAGCCCCTACCCTACACATTAAGTTGCCTGATCCCTCAAACCCTAAGCCCTAAAAGCCTAAACCCTAAAACCCCAAACCCTAAACACTTGGCAAAATTGAAGGTATGATCCCTCAAACCCTAAACCCTAAAAGCCTAAACCCTAAGACCCCAAAGCCTAAACACTTGACAAAATTGAACGTACCTCAATTAGCTTCCCACATTAGGCTGCATCCGGGGCGACTTCGGTGCTCGGCGCTGCTGAACCGGGCGCACCTCGGCGGTGTTTCGACCTTTGAGAGCCTAGGTGTGGAGTCGACATCTCTTGACGGATGTGAGCTTTGGGTTTAGGGCTTAGGGATTAGGGTTAGGGTTTAGGGTTTAGGGTTTAGGGTTTAGGGTTGAGGGTTTGGGACTGAGGCTTCTTGAACTATGCGATCATGTGCATGCAGGGCTCCTCGGGAATATTTGCGAGCGTATGTTTGGACTTCCGTACTGAGTATACTCGTATTTTATACAGCACACACACCTCCTATAGTTCTCAAGATTGTCCGCGGCCGACGCCGCCGTGCTCAGTCGAGGCACTGCTATGTGGGCATGGGCTTACTGCAAGATGCCCTCGCCGACATCCAAGAGATTACAAACCTCGGAGGCGGGCCACTCACAAGCTCTTCGGGGAGATTTTTAGGGAATCTGAAGGATTCTCATGCGATGATGATGGGACTAGAGATGGTGCAAAGAGTGCAAGACTGCAAAAGACATTCAATAAGAACACAGTTAGCCCATAAGCCAACAGCAACCGCAGTATTCGTGTTGAACTAGCAGAAGGCATTGATTGCGGGTTGAAGGCTTGTCCCCTGGGCCACTTGCAAGTCTCAAGGCCTGCAAGTGTGGAAGGACAGCCAAACCTGTAACAACGAGACCCCCGGCCTTTGAACCCGACACCCAAAACTAGAAACCCATGCTCTCAACCTTCTAAAACATCTTTAAACCCCAAACCAGAAACCCATATAAACCCCAAACCCATATAAAATATAAACCCTAAACCCTGCACTCTAAGCTCCTAAGCTCCTAAGCCCCAGCTGAGCCGGAGCCGTCGAGGCCAGACCCGAAGACTTAAGCCCTGAACAGGCCTTATATAGACCCCGAAGAAGGTGCAACCCATAAAGGGTTTAGGGTTTTAGGGTTTTTTGGGTTTAGGGTTTAGGGTTTAGGGTTTCAGGGTTTAGGGTTTTAGGTTTTTTTGGGTTTAGGGTTTAGGGTTTCAGAGTTTAGGGTTTTAGGGTTTAGGGTTTAGGGTTTTAGGGTTTTAGGGTTTTAGGGTTTAGGGTTTTAGGATTTTCGGGTTTTAGGGTTTAGGGTTTTAGGATTTTAGGGTTTAGGGTTTAGGGTTTCAAGGAGCCCCTAACTAAAGATCCGTCAAAGGAGCCCCTAAGAAGCCCTCAAAGGAACCCCCTATTAGATCCCGTAAAACGAAAGGAATACATAAAGTAAACCCCAAACCCTAAATAAACCCAAAACCCTCAGGAACCCCTGAAAGGTGCAACGGATGGCTTTGACGCATCCCGGTGGCCGAAGGCCGGGTTTGTCTCATCATCAGGGGCGGCTTGAAGCGAGGTGGTTTTCCGCATCTTGTAGGGTTCAGGGATTTAGGATTCAGGGGTTTACGGATTATGCTGGGTTCAGGGTTTACGGCGTTTACGGTTTAGGGATTTATGGATTATGACGGGTTGTAGGCTTGCGGATTTTGTTCAGGGTGTATGGGCTCCGGGGTCCGTTGCTCCTCCTTTAGTCTGAGCCATCAACAGCCACAGCTACGAAATACATGAAGTTGGTAAGACCACGACGACACGAACGTGACCAGCGATGTGATGGTTATCGTGTTGATGTTGTGACATGGTGATTGCGAGGTAGAGCTTTGTTGTCCCCATATCGTCAAACGGTGACGTCAGCCCGAACTTTCACCGAGGGGTATCCGGCATTCATAGGGTGCTCCCTTCAGGTGTGGATGAGCCGCGGTGGCATTCACCGGAAGTTAGCCCAATCTGCCACCGGTGCGGAAGCCGAGAAGCTCTACAGCAAGGCCAGCGCATGCTCTCGGGATCCAGGACTTTTGGATTCAAGGGCTCCCTAAACGCTGATGTGGCAGCTTATGTGAAGTTAAGACCCCTGACAGAACCCTTATAGGAACCCTATACCCTAAACCCTACATAAATCCTGTGTAGCCCTAAACCCTATATAAGCCCTAAACCCTACATGAACCCTGTGTAACCCTAAACCCTATATAAGCCCTAAAAGCCAGCACAAGAAGAGGCCAGAGCGGACTATGAGCACGTACTTTCGATTCAGAGCCGCAGCTGCAGCAAGCGCTCTTAGCGATCGGAAGGGCTTCGTTGGGTTGGGGGGTTTAGGGTTTAGGGTTTAGGATTTGGGGGGTTTAGGGTGT